AACATCTTTATTTCTGTCTTAATTTCATTATTTATCCAGCAGTCATTCAGGATCAGGTTGTTCAGTTTCCATGTAGTTGTGCCATTTTGAATGTGTTTCTTTTTTTTTAAGATGGAGTTTCACTCTTATTGCCCAGGCTTGAATGCAGTGGTGCAATCTCAGCTCACTGCAACCTTCTGCTCCCGAATTCAAGCAGTTCTCCTACCTCAGCGTTCCCGGTCGCTGGGAATACAGGCATGTGCCACCACGCCCAGCTAATTTTTTGTATTTTTATTAGGGATGGAGTTTCATCACACTGGCCAGACTGGTCTTGAACTCCTGACTTCAAGTGATCCACCCGCCTAGGCCTCCCAAAGTGCTGGGATTACAGACATGAGCCACCACACCCAGCCTTGAGTGAGTTTCTTAATCCTGAGTTCTAATTTGATTGCACTGTGGTCTTAGAGACTGTTTGTTATGATTTTCATTATTTTGCATTTGCTGAGGAGTGATTTACTTCCAATTATGTGGTCAGTTTTAGAGTAAGTGTGATGTGGGGCGTGTTTTGTTTTGTTTTGTTTTGTTTTGTTTTGTTTTGTTTTGTTTTGTTTTGTTTTGTTTTGTTTTGTTTGAAAGACAGGGTCTCACTCTGTGAGTCCAGTATTTGAATAAGGAGGCTGGTTAGTGCAGTGATGTGATCATAGCTTACTATAATCTCAAATTCCTGAGCTCAAGAGACCCTCCTGCCTTAGCTTCTCAGGTAGCTGAAACTCTAGTATACTCCATTGCCTGGTTAATTTTTTTATTTTTATTTTTGTAAAGTTGGGGATCTCACTGCGCTGTTCAGGCTGGTCTCAAACTCCCGGCCTCAAACTGTCCTTCTGCCCTGGCCTCTCAAAGTGCTGGGGTTACATGTGTGAGCCACCATGCTCAGTCATGTGCTTAGATTTTTTTTATGTATGGCCTCTTCGTTATTTAAAACCAAAGACTTTTCAAAGAGCAGTTAGCTGATTAAATAAGTCATTCATGCATTTATTCAGCAAATGTTATCCTTTAAGTTAAATACTATCCATCTTTAAGAACTCTGTTTCATCTGCTAGGCATATGCATGGATGGAAATTACTAGATCTCTTGGTGTGTCTTCTTTATTAAATCTTTCTGTTCCTGTTTCTTAATCATTTAATGTCTTTGCTATTGTATATTAGTATTTGTGGTCTCTTTGCGGCACTTTCTCTTTGGTGATTAGCACTTGACTAGGTATCCTCTTTTTCAGTACAAGTTCTGTTGAAACCCTCACTTTGTCCAGCCACAGCAATAGATCTCACAGAGTCCATTTCTCAACCTGAAGCATTGTCTATTTTTGCATTTTAAACAAGCCCTATGTCTTAGCTTAATGAGGTAGGGGGGAAAAAAACCCATCACTCACAATTTCGTATTCTTAATTGGCATTTATCTGAGAGATATTTTGTCCTTGGCTTGTAAGGATACTTGATTACTCGGATTAGACATTCCAGTCATCCTCTCTGTTCTTCAGAAAGTCACGTGAGCAACTTAGCTTTATTTTTCAGTTTTCTCATCTGCCAAAAAGGGAGATTGATATGTTCCTTACCTATTTCATAGGGTTGTTGTGGATCAAGTAAGAGACTGGCCTTGAAAATGCCTTGAAGAGCTTATGGCAGTGACAGTGGCTGCCATCCTTGCATGTGTGCCAGGCCAGGCACCTTGTGGTGCATTTGCTGCATTGCATCTGTGATTTTAGTGCTTTTGGGGTAGCTACTACTGTCCCTATTTAAAACTGAGGACGCTCTTGTAAGAGAGACATAGATAAAGTATTTGGGAATTTTCAAGGGAAGGAATAGTTTCTTCTGGCTGGGAATCAGAAAAATCTTCCTGGACAAGGTGATATTTTGGCTGTCTTGTAGCAGTTAAGGAAAATGTTGCCTGGTAGCACCAAAATGGCCTTTTATGTACTAGTCATCTAATTGCAACACATTGTTCTTTGTTTGTAAAATGAGTATATCCCCTGCTTAGATTAAAAGCTTGCTTCTGCCAGGCATGGTGGCTCACGCCTGTAATCCCAGCGCTTTGAGAGGCTGAGACAGGAAGATCACTTGAGCCTAGGACTTCAAGACCGGCCTGGGCAACAAAGTGAGACCGCATCCCTATAAAAAAAAATATGAAAATTAGCTGGATGTTTTGGTGGTGCAAGCCTGTCATCCCAGGTACTTGAGAGGCTGAGGTGAGATGATCCCTTGAGCCCAGGTTATGGAGGCTGCAGTAAGCCAAGGCGACAGAGCAAGACCTTATCTCTAAAAATAAAATAAAAGCTTGCCTCAAGCGCATTTTTAGTGTAAATTGCCCTTGCTTTTTTCTCTCTCAGACAAGGAGGAGCTTACCCTGCTTTATTTTCTCCTGGTAAGGAAGGCCTTGGAGGGTGTTTTGTAGGAAGAGCTTTAGAGTGCTCGGTGGAGAGGGTAGCCCTGTCCCCAACCTGGTGGCACGGTCATAGGAGCACCGCTCGGTATTGCTTCCAAGGCCTATTTAGTCACCACATGAGCTGTCCTGTGCAGCGCTGCGGTGATAGCTAACATCATAAAATGTTATTCAGCAAGTTATTTGGTGCTATAGATCTTAATCACAATTCATAGTTTCTGGAATATTGTCAGGATTTATCATGGAAATCTTCAAAGAAACGTTAGTCAGGCAGTATATACATCTTAGGTATGTCAATATTTCTTCTATAAAAATATTTTATGTATTTCTATAATAGCTTGCATTTATAAAATCTGTCAGGGTCTATGGAGCTGGCCGTGACAAGAATTAGTTCTGAAGAGAATTGGTGCTGCTTGGGCAGGCAGCTGAGCATCGCTGGGGGCTGCCATGGCAGATACTGCAGTGCGCAGAACCAAACGCCTGTGCCCAGCTGGCACACTTGAACTTGAGCAGACCACTGGGTGCTTGAGAGCAGAAGTGGCCATGGAGCCCTGACAGCTGCTGCTGTCAGTGGGTTACAGGGGAGGCTTCAGGCCTGTGCATGTTGGGGATGAGCCCTGAGTTGAGTATAGGTACAAGTTCAGCAATTCTTAAATTATGTCTCAAAATGCTCCTGCAGCAACTGTAGCTCCTAAATCTAGGGCTTTTCCCTTGCTTCTGGAGACTCTAGTTCTGTACACACTGCTCTGGCTGCCCTGCTGAGGAAAAATTTTATGGGCTGAAGTGACCTCCATATTATCCTGATTTTTTTCTCCAATTTATCAATTAAAGATGAGCTACCTTTCATTAACAAAACACCTGTTGTGGCAGAGCATCTGTGTGTTCACTTCTTAGTGCCTTTCTTTACAAGTTGGTTTCACTCTTTTGTTCCCTCTCCTAGCGTGACCCGCAGAAACTCGTTCATATGCTGCTTGTACATTATGCTGTTCATATCCTTCCCTCATTCTGTTTTCTTGCCTTAAGTAATAGTTGTCCAAGACAGTGCTCAGGGGAGGCAATGTGGCCCAGGGCCCAGTATATGGGCATGTGCCATGGACTCCTAGATAAGGGAAGGGATGGAAAATTTGAGGTTGAATGGGAAATGAATGAAGAAAAAGTGAGAGAAAGAAATCGAAACATAATTAAACTGTACAACTAAAATCTTAGCACCATTTAAATACCAATTTTTATTATTCACTATTAACCAGTTGGCTGAACTGGTAGAGAAACTCATATTGGTGAGTGTCTGTTCTTAACAAGATGGTATGTTGTACCCTTCATTTTTGCTCTTCTCAATTTGTGTATTTTTTCATTTTTTTTACTTAAAAAGCACAGAGAGTAATAGAAACACATAAGCATACTCACAACCTAGAATTAGTAACATATGTTAATCCTTCGTTTTTTTTGTTTCTCATACTTTTATAATAGAAACAATATGACACACAAATTTGAAACCTTCTGGGTTCCCCTCCTGAGTCATACTCCTCTTTCTCTCTCCTTAGAGACAGTAGCTTTCATGACTTTTCTGTGAATCCTTCTATTTATATTTTTATACTTGTATTCATAAACAATATTGCATTGATTTCTGTGTTTTTTAAAATTACATTATAGATGTCATATTCGATATATCCTGTTTATCCCCTTTCTTTTCTTAAGACCTCTCTATCTGATAACTTACACATCTGGTTCACCTCATTTTAAGTGTTCTGTTATGTAAACACACCATGGTTTGCCCATCCTACTGATTTATGCTGGGTGCAGTTTTCTACTCGTATAAACAACACTGAGATGTGTATTCTTGTTTAGGACTCCTGGTGCATCTGACAGTTTCTGGGTACCTACCCAGGATTTCTGGTGTAGAGGCTATGCACACTCTAAACTTTAGTTATCTCACTTAATCCCAACAAATGTTCCCTGGGACAGGTGGCAGGATCTCCATTTTACACATGAGAAAATTGAAGTGTTGAATGCTGTAGAACTTGGCCAACTTAACAGGGAAACCAGTACTTGAATCCAGATCAAATCCACCCATTTCAATCTAGAGCTCTAATACCCAGCAGTCCACATAGCTCTTCACTGTTAGCCTTTCTGATCATTGGAACAGTTGCAGCTAGCTAGTAACGTACATGCTTTGAAAGCAGGGAATAACAGATCATGAGAAGGTCCATCCTTAAGAAGGAGAAGAATCTACAGTAGCCATATTCTCCTTGTGGTTATCAAAGGATTTGAGACGTGGAGTAAAAAGCGTGCTCCTTAAGATGATGGGTCTAAGGTTTCTATTTATACAAAACTATTTCTTCATGACAGAGACTGTTTATGTTGCTTAAAATGCATATATTAAATGCAACATGCAAGCCTATTTTGATTAAAGAACATTGTTACAGTGAGCATGGTAATATCTCTGTTTTACTTTGCAAAATGTGGAGACCGTTTTCTCCAGGCAAAGAGTGCTATCTGTATGTGGATCTTTTTTTCATGACACTTTATTCACACTTGAATTATCTGTCTTTTGACTTCATTTTTGCTTTATTCTTTTCTTCAACTTCTAGGTAGAAAATCCGGTGTATTAACTGTGAAAATTTTAGAGCTACATGAGGAATGTGCCATGCAAGTTGCCATGTGTGAGCAGTTACTGGGGCCACCAGCTACCAGCCTCTCCCGAGGTGTGGCTCCTCCTGGAGCTGGCCTGAAAGTTCTCTTCACCAAGGAGACTGCAGGCTACCTCAGGGGCCGTCCCCAGGACATTGTCCGGATCTTCCCTCCCTGGTGAGTGCGCAGAACTGAATCCAGCAGTCGCCAACTGTGAGTCAGCCTCATAAGAAAAGACGTTTTTATCAGGAACATTTTTGTCACTTTATCATAGAGCAATGTCAGAGGAAGAGAGCCAGGATTGGATGTGGGTTTTCTGTCAGAGAAGAACTGGATTGTCTCTGATGGTTTGTTTCTACTTCTGTCAGCAGATTTCTAATAATTTGGGCTGAGAGGGTTGAGGAAACAACCATATTAAGATTCTTGCCCAAGTGATGTGTTATAAGATCTGGCTGTTTTTGTTTTTATATTTCTTGGAAAAATAATTTTATTAAGAGGCATTATGTGACAATAGGATAACACACATTAATTAAATATTTCTTAGTCACTTGAGAGGGAAGGATAAAAAGCATGAACTGAGATATACTAGGGTTTGAATTGCAGGAGCAAAAATGATCATTATTGGATCAGAAATTATTTTAAAGGATACTATGTTTGTTTTCTTTTGCAATGGGATGTTGATTTTTACCATGAATAGAAGAAAATTGTACTGCTTTTGAAGGAATGTTTGAGCACCATGTTTTAAGAGCCAATTATTAATTTGTTGGTAATTTTTTATAAGCTTTCATTTTGTTTATGAGGAAGGGTTATAGGATAAATTTTTAAGCATTATTATTGCTGGATCAGAGGATATGTGCCTCCTTAATTTTAGCAGACTTTGTCAAATGGCGCCATTTTACATTCCCACCAGCAATGCATGAAGTGCTGTTTTCTTTTCCTTTACAAACCTACCCTGTTGATCTTGACCAAGTTAAACATTGGAAATATGGTGTTTATCATTTTAATTTGTATTTCTCTTATATAAAATGGGCCTAGGCATTTTTCTCCATGTTTAAGAATCACTTGTATTTCATTTTATGTCCATTGATAATTTTTTACCTTTCTTCTCTTAAACTATTTGTCCAAGTGATTTCTACCAACTTTTTTATGTTATTTTTTTTTAAAAAGCACCTTGTCAGTCATATACATTGCACTTAGTTCATTCCTCGTTTGTCATTTGACTTTTGGCATTTTTAGGGGGAGGGATTTGTTTTGCTGCTTTGTTTTTGATGAGCAGAAATTTTCTCTTTTTCTGTGGTTGATTTTATCCATCTTTTATGGCTTCTAGGTTTTGTATCATAGACAGAAAGGTTTTCCTTACTATGAGGTGTAAAATTTATTCTATGTTTTATTCTAATACTTTCATGGATTTAAAAAATTTTACATTTAAGTCTTTGACACTCCTGGAATTTATCTTTATGTGTAATATGTGAGGTAGTAAATGCAATTTTATTTTTTCAAAATGACCACTAGGAATCTCAACATTATTTATTGAACATTGTGTCTTTTCTTCATACAATTTCAATGCTGCCTTTATCATGTACTAAATACCTACATATATCTTTGGGCTTTTAGCTCTTTTAATGTAACTGTATTTGCACATGCTAGTATTAGTTTTGTGTGGTATTTCAGTAACTGCTAGGACTACTCACATCTCATTAAGCTTATTTTTTACAACTTTCCTCTTAATGATTGCTTTCTTTCTTTTTTGCTTTAAATATTTGCCTTAAACATTTATTTTCAAATATGCATTGTAAAAGTTAAAACAATTTAGAAATATATACCTTACAAAGAACAGGGAGGGGAACATCACACACCAGGGCCTGTCAGGGGGTAGGGGAGTGGGGGGATAGGGGAGGGATAGCAGGGAGTGGAGGAATTGGGGAGGAATAGCATTAAGAGAAATACCTAATGTAGATGATGGGGTGATGGATGTAGCAAACCACCATGGCATGTGTATACCGATGTAACAAACCTGCACATTCTGCACATGTACCCCAGAACTTAAAGTATAATAAATAAAAAGAAAAAAAAAAGAAAGTGAATCCTCTTACCCCCATCTCTTCAATTAATCACACTCATTCTAGATGACCACTGTTAACAATTTGGAGTATAATCTTCCAGCATTTTTTAAAATTGTTAAATATTCAATTATAATGTATTTAACACATCCCAATGACTATATATAATCTTTATGTAAGTTATGTAATTCTGCCTATTTTTCTATAATAATTTTAGTTTTAATTTACTGGATTAAAAACAGATTGATAGGTTTATTAGTATAGGTTAATCTACATTCATGGAGTAGGGCTTTCAAGGTAGTCGCTGGCAGGGTTCTGATTTGATGCTCCCCTCTCCGCGTTCATGGAACACACAGCAGCACAGAACTTCTATCAGCATCTCCTCTCTTACCTTGAAACTGCCTTCCCTCCTTCACAAATCTGTCCTCATTCAGATCTTCTTGGTTCCCACCTTAGTTTTACTCCCCTGTAGAATTTAGTTCTCTTATTAGCATCTAAGTTTATTTGTGGTAGCAGAGCCTTTTATTGTTATTATGTTTTAAAAATTTCCTCTCCCCTCAACTTTTTAAATTCTTTTTTCGGTAGAGACAGAGTCTTGCTATGTTGCCCAGGCCGGTCTCAAACTCCTGCCCTCAAGCAGTCCTCCCACATTGGCCTCCCAAAGTGCTGGGATTATAGGCCTGAGCCATAAGGCCTGGCTCCTTCTAAACTTCTGATTTTTTTTTTTTTTTTGCACACCTTTATATGTTGTTAAATGCATTTATTAAATGGCCTAGTTTTTAAAAATATCTAAATATGATTATTTTTCTTCAGGGAAGATGTTTTAGAGGCTTTAAATGTAGGACATTTTCTTGGGCTTATGAGAAGTAAAATTAGATCAAGTTTATCTCCAAAGATTTATATGACCAAGAATTTCTAAATCCCACTGGCTCCTTAGACTTTACAAGTAAATGAGTTATTATCATTGGACTTTGGAATGTTTGTAGGTCTGGGTCTTACCAAACAACCCTTGGGTGTTGCTCTCCACAGGAATTCCAGCAGGCTGTCGAGAGATTATTTATGTATATTCAGCATATAATACTTAAGAAGATAGAAAAGGCCATTCACATTGGCTCATGCCTGTAATAATCCCAGCAGTTTCGGAGGCCAAGGCGGGCAGATCAGTTGAGGTCAGGAGTTCGAGACCAGCCTGCCCAACATGGCAAAATTTCATCCCTACTAAAACTACAAAAATTAGCTGGGTATGGGTAGCTCGTGCCTGTGGTCCCAGCTGCTCGGCAGGCTAAGGTGGATGAATCGCTTTAGCCAGGAGGTGGAGATTGCAGGGAGCCGAGATTGCACCACTGCATTCCAGCCTGGGCGACAGGGCAAGACCCTATCTCCAAAAAAAAAAACAAAACTTTCATATTTAATGAAAGAAAACCAAAATAATTTTTTGAAGGACTAGTCTTGGCCGGGCATGGTGGCTCACGCCTGTAATCCCAACACTTTGGGAGGCTGGGGCGGGCAGATCACATGAGGTCAAGAGTTAAAGTCCAGCCAGACCAATGTGGAGAAACCCTGTCTCTAAAAAATACAAAAAATAAGCCAGGCATGGTGGCACATGCCTGTAATCCCAGCTACTCGGGAGGCTGAGGCAGGAGAATCTCTTGAACCTGGGAGGCAGAGGGTGCGGTGAGCCAAGATTGCACCTGCACAATGAGAGCAAAACTCCATCCCCCACCCCCCCAAAAAAAATGTATGTATATATAATTTTTTTTAAGGAAACTTAACAAGTCATAGTGAATATATTTTTCCTTGTGGGCTGGCTATCCTTTTCCCACTAGCACCCTTCTGTGTTCATGTAAACTTTTTTAACATGGGCCCAGTGTTTTTTTAAAAGAATCAATAAACTTTAGATGCTCCTATTTGTCCTGTAGTAATAAATATGAGTTTAGGTACAATGGCTGCTTACCCCAAGGAGCTTAGAGCCCTCTGTAAATATTGCCTAGTAAATTCTCACCGGATTCCGATGAGAGGTAATGCAGCTTTGCCTCTGGCAGTCTGAAAATAAAGATAGAAGTAAAATGCCTTGCCTCCAATTAATTGCATTATGAAATAATCATAGAATTATATAACAGTAACCAACTTATTAAAAATGTATTAATCCATACAATTTCAGACATATAAAAATAAACTAGTATAATGAATCCCATGTCTCATAGTTTCAACATTTATTAACTAATGAATAAATAGCTTTTACTACTCAAGCAAACTGAAAGCTTTATAATGATTCCAAGGAAACATCCCACCACTTGAATGCAGTTATACCAGAAAAAGCAAATGAAGGAATTTACTATAATGATACTGGGGAGAGAGAAAGGTAGAAACCATCTGCCTGATTACATACTGCCATGAACACTAATGCCAGAAGGAGGACAGGTAAGCGGTTGAGTGTGTGAGAGTATATCCAGGGACAACCAAGACACCTCTTATTCATTCAGAAATATTTACTGGTATCCCCTGTACCAGATACTTTGCTTCTCATAATACATATCCCAGTATGCTGGAAGAGTGAAATCTGACTTTCCCCATTGTCAGGAGCATACCTCTCCATTGGTCCATTCGTATCATCTTTTTAGTCACTACTTAGTATTCCTCTATATGATTATGTGATAATTTAAACATCCTCTTATTTAGGATTTTTAAGGTTTCTTTCTATTTTGAGCTGTTTTAATCACTGCTTGGGTGAAGTATTTATACTTACACTTTCCTTCTGATTTAGTTCATAGAATATTTCTAGAAGTAGAAATTCTTGGTCATAGAATACCAGCAGGTTTTGAGCCTTTTGATATATTATTTACATAGTAACCTGTAAAGGTTGAAGGTGTCTTTGATGCTGCCAGTCTCATCACACCACATTCAGCATTTTTTATGGCTGCACAGTGTGATACAGTTTTAAAAACACTTTCTATATTCTCAGGATATGATACCTATTGGTTCTTTTACTATCATAAACAGCTATGTAGTAGATACTGTTATATGTGTAGTTTGGTATGTACTTCAGATGTTGTTTCAAAGTAGGTTTTAGGAACTGTTTTAGTATAGGGTATGTGTTTTGTTTTTGCTGTTGCTGCTGTGACTCCTTGATATTGTTAAGTCATCTGTAAACCTCCTAGCAGAGTCCCTGCAGCCAATCACATCAGATACAGCACACTGCATTTTACTGTACTTTGCTTCTTTGCTTTTATAGCACTTCACACATGTTGTACTTTTTATCAGTGCCATTTTTCCAACAGCATGTGCTCACCTCGTGTCTCTATATCACAATTAAATAATTATCCCAATATTCCAAAGTTTCGTATTATCTATTATAGTTGTCTGTGATAAGTGATCTTTGATGTTACTACTGTAATTATTTGAGGTGCCATGAACTGTGCCCATGTGAGATGACAAACTTAATTGATGAATGCTATGTATGCTCTGACTGCTCCATCAATCGGATGTTTCCCCTTCTCACTTTCTCTCCTCAGGCCCCGCGTCCCATGAGACACAACAGTACTGAACTTTGCCCAATTAATAAGCCTAATATGCCTTCTAAGTGTTCACATGAAAGGAAGAATTCCACATCTTTTACTTTAAACCAAAAGCTAGAAGTGATTAAGCTTAGTAAGGAAAGCATGTCAAAAGGCAAAGTAGGCTGAAAGCTAGGCCTCTTGCGCCAAGCAGTCAGACAAGGTATGAATGAAAGGAAAAGTTATTGAAGGAAATTAAAAGTGCTACTCCAGTGAGCACACAGATAATGAGAAAGCAAAGCTGCCTTTTTGCTAATATGGAGAAAGTTTGAGTTGTCTGTATGTAAAATCAAAAAGCCATGACATTTCCTTTTATTTATTTATTTATTTATTTATTTTATTTTATTTTTCCCATTTATTTATTTTATTGCATTTTAGGTTTTGGGGTACATGTGAAGAACATGCAAAATTGTTGCATAGGAACACACATGGCAGTGTGATTTGCCGCCTTCCTCCCCATCACCTACATCTGGTATTTCTCCCCTTGCTATCTCTCCCCAGCTTCCCACCCCCCACCGTCCCTCCCCTATTTCCCCCCAACTGACCCCAGTGTGTAGTGCTCCCCTCCCTGTGTCCATGTGTTCTCATTGTTCAACACCCACCTATGACTGAGAACATG